TACACAAGATGATAAGACATAAATACCAAAACCCATGTAGTATTGGTACCTTACTATTGCCTGATGGATCTATGACTTGTTCGTGGATAGAATCAGTTAAGGCATTGTGCGCAAAATTTGCACCTGGCGATAGCACAGAATTGGAAATTGAAGAACATAGAAATATTAGGATGCTAAATAGTGAGTACCGGAACTCTAATTTGGAACCGGACATCTCGGTGGCCGAGATTAGTAATGCTATCAAGAGAACCAAGAAGAAGAAAGCCTCGGGACTCGACGGTTTCCCTCCGGAAGTCGTCAAGAATTTGTGGGTAACCAAACCAGAGGTACTGCTCTCCGTATTTAATATGTGCCTTAGAGCGAATATAATACCCACTATGTGGAAGAAAGCTAGAATTACCCCTTGGTGTAAGAGTTCATATGCCGGCGAGTGGGCGAATGAAAATGGGAGAAATCTCTTCTGGGCGAGCTAGTCGGACTAGTTCGATTTCTTCTGTTGCAGATAAGAGCGACAGTGCGCAGCGTACTCCTTTGAAGAAGCGGAGAAAGAATTCTAGCGAAGAAAATAAGATAATTGAAACAGTTATGGAAAACAAAGCTCTGAATGTTAGAAAGGAGCGAACTAAATTAGAAGAGTATCTTTTTAATGGGGCAGACAAAGTAAATAAAATGGCAATTAAATTTATTCTGGAAAAATGGAGTATTTTAGAAGGAAAACTTCAGAATGAAATTTTGAAAAATGAAAAACTTAAGATCACATGCCTGATGGCTTCACGAAATTACGCACAGGTTACGTCCAGTGCTGAACATTCACGTACCGGCCAACCTGCAAGAGAAAGAGCCTCAAGTTTAGCTAGAAAGGATAATGAGGTGCTGTTAGTCAGACTAGAAAAGGAAGAGGATAGCAGAAATAACGATGATATAAAAAGCGATATAGTTAAGAAATTAAGTAGTGTAAGAACAAAGCTAAAGGTACGAAGTATTAGGCAAATGAGAAGGAAAGGTGTTGTAATAGAAGTACATAAGTGATAAATCAGATGTAGAACTTATAAAACAAACCAAATTGTTATATACAACGTTGAAAAGGACTATAAAGAAGAAGATTTAAAAGAAGATTTTATAAACAAAAATTTTGATGTTAGTGAGAAGGAATTAACAGAATTGAAACAGAATGCAATTTTTAGACGTTTTATAGTTTTAAAGGAAAAGAAGGTAAGTTGAACTGGATAGTTCAGATTCCTGGCCGCTTTTTTGGCAGCCTAGTGGACCGAGGGCGTATATACTATACATGTAGTAGCGCGTGTATAGAATAAGGGAGTATCTGAATATAATGAGATGTTTTAAATGCCACGCATTTGGCCATATAGCAAAGTTTTGTAATGCACCGCATCAGCTTTGAGAGATTTGTGGCAGTAAGGAGCACGATAGGAACGACTGCCCTAATAAGGAAAGACCACAGTGCATAAATTGTATCCGAATAAGAAGGAAGGATACCCAACACGAAGTCAGAAATAAAAACTGCTTGGAGTACCAACGACATTTGGATATCTATGAAAGCAAGATAGAATGGACCTAAAGCGCGAGCAGGGCCATCAATGCAGCGTTTAAAGACATAAAAGTAAGAGGAATGAAGGGTTGGTCAACACAGGTTGAATGTTCCAATTGGTCCATCATACCTGGAGTACGACGTATTAACTGTTAGATTTATCAGTCAGTTAGATATAACAAAAATTAATCTAAAGCCTTACTAGGAAGTATATATTACTTTTGTATACGTTCGGAGAAATCCGTTTAGCTTTACCACCTCTGTTTAGTTAAGATCTAAATGTTTATGATACGTGACAAAAGGCCCTTCGGTCTCAAGCGGGGTCGTAGGCAATATTAGGGCGTTGTGTAGGAACATTCTCAGTCTGTATACAGTGCTCTTACCATCAAGTAGAAAAGCGAACCTTCCTTGTGTCTAATAAAAGTTTATAGTTTAAAATAAGGATTATTAATTATTTAACAATCAGTAACTCCCATACTCCAATATTAACAACACGTTGAATGTTCCAATTTCCTATCAACTAACCGACATTCTGCTCCGTGCGAGGACACAAGCGTAAGCCGTAACAAGCTTTAAAAACTTGTACGATTTCGTGTACAAAAGTTAGGAAATTTGTTTAAAATACTAAACATTGGAATCTAACACACGTGCAGCATTAGCAGTACTTCTAGACCCTAGGTTCAAAAATATTAACTTCCAAGATGCGAGAGCTTGTGACACGTTAGGTAATCCAGAAACTGAAAGAATTATTGAAGCAAGATAATTCAAACCATAACAGTGAATCAGAAGCACAGGGAACTACTAAGACTGAGTATGATTTCTGGAAATATAAAGAATTGATCATAAATTAGAAGAGAAAACAAAATTAATAACAAAGGTGATGAATTCTCAATGTATTTGTCTTCTCCTATTCCCTCGTTAAAGTCATCACCACTAAAGGAATAGGAAGTTATGAAACTAATGTTTCTATCATTGTATAATCAGACTCAAATGTTTTTAGTGGTTGTTGCTTCTTCAGTTTCTTTTGGGAGGTTATTTTTGAAGACGGAAACACAATCACCAAAGACAGAAATCGACATTCGATCAAAAATTTGTAAAAGTTACTGTTTTTGGGAAATAATACGAAAACTTCATTTTTTTATCTGTGTACGAATAAGTTCCTTCTGTTCCCTTCTCCTCCTCCTCCTCCTCTGTTTTACTTCTTCGTCCATTCCCAAAGTTGTTTATAAAATATATGTAATACATATTAAATAAAAAATATATTTATTATCAGCTTCGCGGGACTTTTTCTACACCTTTTCTAAAGTATTCTTTTCGACATCCTTAATAAAGTATATTTCGCAATAAAATACATATACACCGGATTAACAATAACGCCGTCTACCTTAAATATTTCCATGATTTGTAATAATATGGAAAAATGTTATATGCAAAACTTGAGTAGAAGAGTAGAAGAGATTTCAAGGTCACCTCTATTTTTTTAAATAGGATGCTATATTTTTTTTATCACCGTGTGATAGCCAGTGTTGTGATGATTTTAGCATGTTATCATTAAAGGTCAATATTAATGAGAAAGAACATTGTATTCGATGTGATTCGATAGAAGCGGATATCAAGACTTTTGTGTTAGAAAAGTCCAAAAAGCGAAGGCTTGAGTGGGCCATGTGCAGTCTTCTGCTGCGTTTCCCCCTCCTAGGGATAGTTCTGCCTCAAGGCTAAGAAAGGCCATATTGTCAAGGGGGTCCTCTTGACTAGGTTTTTCAGAAAAGATAGAATTGTATGAGCACTCGTACAGTATAATTCGAAATACAAGCATTCACTTTGTTTAACCGCCCACGTTTATATCTTATTCAACCGCTCACCCCCGTTATCCTGACGGGTTTTCTCTTACATTTGTTTCGAGATCGAGTAAGTGTCGATACTTTCGATACGTATGTAATTGTCAATTTATCCTTTACTGCGTGCCATTAATTCGTAACTCTCAGCCAGACATGTGATTTTCAACTTTTGATGCCGCGGCGACGATCGATCGACACAACTGTCAACGCAAATTATTCTGCGTCCTATATGCTGCGGCGGTAGTAGGTAAACGTCTTAACACTACAGTATCACAACAATATCATTCAGTTGTTCAACCAGCATTGATACGAACCAACTCTATTAATTTTTATCCATCACCGTACGAATAGCACACAATCAGTGTGCAATCGTCGCCTGATCGACAAAACATTTATGTGAAAAATCTCGCGGCTGTCGAGGTGATACGGAGAAGTGTCGATGCTGGGGCTGTTATGAATAGGTGAACGCATTTATATTTAACACGTTGAGTGCGGAGCCGATTTCGTTCTGCTTTCCGTTCAGACGGCATACAGCGGCGATCACTTCGCAAGGTGTTTGGTTATAGAGTATAAACAGAAGATAACAAATGCGCTCACACGGCATTCAGATGAAGAAATACCAATCCGGGTCGATAGAAGAAGTGTTCATAAATTTCAAAAAAAAGAAGGAGACGTGCATAAAGTCCGAAGATATTGTTCTGAATATTATAACAATAATGCAAACACATTCGGGCGCAATACAGACAGAAAGTTAACCAAACAGGTCGTCACATTTTATAATACGTGTAAAACCAAACCACATCTTTACTTAAAATGTTTTAATAAACTCCATTAAAATTATAACATTTATGTTTTAACCTTGATACTGCCGGTCCCACGGACCGACGCCACCCAAACGAAAAGTTCACTGTCAGTCCCCACGGACTGACGCCGCGCTTAAGGTGTTAAACTACATATAACAACGTGAATATGACGACATTGATTTATAGTCCACCCAACGAGTTGAGTCAGTAGAGGTAAATAAATATTCACGTGCTAAACACGTGATAGATGCAAGAGACAGAGCTATTGGCTGGCGAACGATAGTTCAAGAGCGGATTTACATGGGTCATTGCTTCGACTTCTCGAGTTTAGTGTTACAGTATCTGAAGGTTGTTAATACGCTCCTGTCCCAATCACGTGCGTTTGTTTACCTTTGCTGATTCGACTTGTTGGACGAACTGTAATGCTGTTCATGTGTTACTCATCAAGTAGGCGATAACTCGTCGCTGTCACGAACGCGGCATATGCGGTTCGAAATGCAGTGCCTTGTGTGCTAGCGTCGTCAGTGCGTGTCGATCGGTCATCTCAAAAGTCAATGTTGTTGTTGTATGGTAGACTATCACATCTGTGCGCATGCCTGGCTCAGATTACGAATCGGTGACACGCGCATGCCCTATTTTGATTTTCGTATGGCAGTGAACGTGTTAATACTTACTTTTAATATCTGTATTGCAATTATAAATAAAATTGTTTTTCATCTTTGAACTTAATAAAAAATTTAATACTAAAAACGTCTACGCACATTTCTTAACATTAACTACTGGTAAAAATTACATATCAAAGCCTATCTCTTTTCATTTTTTCTCCAGAACAACTAATTTGTCCTGTGTACTTTGTACAAAACGTTTATGTTTTTCTTTATTGGTATTCGCATTTCTCACTTTAATTATTTTATTCCTGTTTATTACTTTAGGGTAAACATCTTTTGTCCATGTTTTTCCATGAGAAAAGCCAATATGTTGTCTTTCTGGTGCAACATATGTAGCTAAATAAAAACATTAATTACGTTAACATAAAGTAATTGAAGCATTTGCTTTACAATTTTATAATAGTTTTATATGATACCTTTCAATAATCTGCCACACATGAGATAATTATTCATTGTTTCTGCAGCTATTTTGACAACACTTGGGTACATAAACTCCACATATCCATAGCCACAACATCTACCAGTCTAAAAAAGTTTTACAGTATATTAGACATGTACCATGCGCTTGTATTACATATTTGTCTGATGTTTTACAAATTTTAGAATAAGAATAGGATACAAATTGTTCAACTTCGATTCTGATGTTTCTATGCAATACCATAAATATTTGCAGAATGTTAGGTGTAAATATTGAAACTTTAATAAATATAAATAAAAAAATTGCAGGTCTTGCTAAATGCACAATATGTACATACTTAGATATAAACTTTTAACAAACATTGAG